GTTACATTACTCTACATCCTGTAGTATTTATGTGTTGGAGGTGTGTCTTGAAGCGGCGTGGCCTTATGTGTGACATCATGAGTAAATTAATCTGCATGCGAGCATCTGGACGTGAGTTGTGGTCTACAGCAGTTCAGGGCGAGTGCTCCCATTTAGCATTTGTATTGTTGAGTAAAGTGGTGATACTGCATCTGTGACTTGGGGCTCCCCTTGCCTACATGCCCTTGGCATTACGGTACCGTAATTGCTCCATTTTATTTCCCTCATTCATTTTTCTTTGTTTTGGTGCTCCGGGATTGACTTGAGTGATGTTGCGAGCATGCAGCGGTGTCCTTTTGGCACCTCTGAGTCAGGCACGGAGACGCTGACTCACTTCAACCACAGCTGCTAGATACATCGCGAAGCAAATCCAATTTTCCCTCAAATCCACAACATTCCAAATCACGAAAAAGACGGAGGGATTTATTTTGGAATCGTGTAATATCGCCTGCGGTGGCAAACAAGAATAAATACTTCATTACTCTACTTTTGTTGATTTTTTTTCCTTTTCTTTGGTACTGAATACTCTGTAGTTTTTACTGTGTTTTGTCCAAACAGGCGTATTACTGCTTTCGGCCCCAGTCACTAATCTCCGCCTTCATGTTCGCGAATAAGCTAACCTTTCAGGTCAAAGTATATTCATCCTTTCATGCGCCAATAATGATAACCTGATTACATGATAAGTTGTCCACTGTAGTAACGGCTGTCCCTGAAAGGGTTTAAAAATGCTATTTACTTTTGTACTTTACTACATCTCAAAGTCTGCACATTTTTTATAGTCGTTCAATCACAACTTTTTATTTATTTATTTATTTTAACCCAAGCACACATATATCTACTTGTACTTTACAGTGCAAGTACTTTTGCCAACTCGGATTCCTGCAACTCCAACATGTTGGTTGCATAGGCCAGCAAACAAGTATGAACTGGTTCTTGTCTCCCGTGGCTCATTGGAGTATTCCCGATGCGCCTCAGCCTGATTTTACCAACATTACAAAGGGGCATGAGAAAAGATCATGTTGATGGCAGATGTCAGGTCGGTTTGAATGTGAAGAGAACTGAGACTGAGTTTAAAAAAAAAAAAAAAAAGATGGAAGTGTCGATTGTCATGAACAGCTGCAACTTTCCGACTTCTCCAACTGAGGTACTTGTGGTACATATTTCACCAGTGACAGTGTCCGCCTGATCTGTTTTGCATGCACAAAGGAACCGCGCGTGTTATGTAATGTTCACGTTGCACATGAAGCCTCACTGTACTGCGGCGCTCCAAGTATGAAGCAGGACTGCACGGAAATTGAAAGAAAAATTGAAACTTTTTCCTCAACTCCTGCAATTCCTTTTAATTTCCATTATCTTATATTACTTTCATTTAGGATTAATAAGCACCAGTATGTGCTACAAGAACAAAGTAGCACTGCACTGAAATTAAAAGAGAGATTGGTTTTTAAATAAATACGCATATGAGAAAGTGGCACAAAAACCCAGGAGATAAATAACAAAATAAAAATAATTCATCCGTGTGTTTATGTGGGAGATAAGACAAGCTTGAACTATGGGAGAAAATGTTACAGTTGGAAAACGGATGTGCAGGACTTTAGGGCCACAAAAATGTTTGAATAATTATTTTTGGAAGGAATCTCCTTTTCTACGTGTGTGTGTGTGTGTGTGTGTGTGTGTGTGTGTGTGTGTGTGTGTGTGTGTGTGTGGACTGTGTGTTTTTATTTTTTTTTTTGGCGACCAAAAATACTATGTACTACAGGTTATGGTTACTTTTTTTTTTTTTTCAATAGAATACAAATAAAATTTGAAAAAAAAAACACATAAAGACCAAGAGGTAAATGGCTAAATAAAACGATCGAAGTAAAATCAAAATGAGAAACTTGTGCAGTGTTTGCTAACTGAGTTGTTGTTCTGAGAAAAAAAAAAAAACAACCACAAGATTTCACAGCGCAGCAGGAAGTTTCTCTGTGGTCATGGAACAAGCAATATGCGAGCAAACAAAGTCAAATGAGATCACATTCTTTAATCAGGCCCACTGAACATTTGCGTGATCAGGAGTCCTGTTTCCTGCCACTTTTTTCTTTCCTAACACGGGTTAAATACAGACAATGTGTGAATGGGGATTGGTGGGGTAAACCGACCTATGTGTTCACTTTAAAAATCAAATATTGCACGAAAGTTTCCTGCTGCAGATGAAAGCGGGTGTGTTCTGTTGCGTGTTGTGGTGCATCCCAGTCTTACCGAGCCACATGTGTATGTTGTACGAAGGCGCGGAGGTGGCGAAGAGCAGCAAGTAGGCATCGCCGCTGTAGAAGTTTCCGTGCAGAGCCTTCGGAACGGGCTTCAGATCCAAGTTCTCGATGCGCCACACCTGCAGGCCTGGCTGCTTCCCTGCGTTTGTGAACTCCTTATGGGACACCATGATGACTCTGGGGGGGGGGTGAGACGAGGCAAAGCAGGATGTTCAATGAAGGATTTTTGCATTGCAAAGTCGCACTGTGGCAACTCCCTTGCCAGGCACATTCAAGCACAAAGGAGTGACTGTAATAAACTCTGGCGAGAACCCATGAAATGCATAGTGGGCTTAGTGTTGTGGAAAAACTTGATGGTCACATCCACAAACTTGTGAAACAAAGTTACTTGGATGTGCTGCATTACCATAATAGCACCTCACACCTCAAAGAATTCCTTAGCTTCCAAGCACCACCGTATGGCCAACATTTAAGAAACAAAGTAGCAGACCAGGCTTAACAGTTCATCAAACACAAGGCAGAGGGTTTCTTTCTCAAAATAAATGTGTTTCCAGTCCAGTAGAGAAACGCTGATCTGTCCTGCCACCAGTGATGCAAGATGATGCAGATTATTTGCTGCCCAACCCCATCCGGATTACACAAAAACCAGATTACAAATGATTTGGAGGCGGTAGGATTATTACTGAAGATTTTTTTTTTTAAACATCATCACATACAAACTCTTGCACGTACCCTTTTTGAGAAAATTCAAACTCTTGCATTTTGAAAGAACATCTCAAACAGCAGTTTGATTGCACAGCTCGGGTTACAGATACAGGAAAACGCTTGGGAGAGTAGCTGGAACAGGGCTGATCGATACGCTCTGAAGCGAGCACTCAGCTTGGTTTTTCTGGAGGACTGCATTAAGAGTTCATTATCAATATGAGCCCGCCACGTCATCATATTGAGCTGCATTAAGATCACTAACCAGTTCAGGGTGTACCCCGCCTACGGCCCAAAGACGGCTGGGATAGGCTTCAACACGCAAGCCTCATGTTGAAAAAGCGCTTCAGATAATGGATGCATGGATTATCACCACAAAGAAGTGAGAATGTCCTTTTTTACCAAACTATTCAGGAGTAACATTAATGTTCGGAATTATTTGTATTTTGTATGCACATTATACTTACTTCAAGGCCAAAATGTGCATCTTGTGCACACGCGATACCTTATTTGTGGCCACAAATGAGTATTTTGTGACTACTAAATGCTAATTTGTGGCCACAAAATAGCTATAATGTACACATGAAATATTCATTTGGGGGTTTACAGTGATTATCATAAACAACTCAGGATGTCTTGGGAAACAAATGGAGCGGACCTTGGCTGGAAACGGCAATACACAATCTCTTTATCTTCCCTTCCTAAATAAGGTGCGCTCCATTTGATTACGCAACTATACAGGAATTAAAAGATTCATTTGCATTTTGTGTGTGCGTTAGACCTGCTTCTAGATCACAAATTGGTATTTTATTTGGGGAATATTTAATACAAATTTGTAAGCAAGAAAAAAAATAGGTATAATGTGTAAACACAATACTTATTGGTGGGTTTAATGTTATTCCAGTGAATTTGGCACATCCACAAAAAGTTCCGCCCACATTTGCTCGAACACACCTCAGCGCCGTTTATTACAATTTAATTTGTGTGCATGTTATACCTTAGCCATGGGCACAAATTAATGTTTTGTGGTAAAGTTAAATGCTAATTTGTGGTCTCGAGAAAATTATAATGTGGGCACGAGATTCTAATGTGTGCGAAAACTCCAGGTCAACAAATGGAGCGCACCTTCAAGGGGCACTCCAATACGGCGGAGTGTTATCCTGTAGACGGGGCGCTTCATTTGGTTACCAAACTGTCCAGAAAATACATTCAACATACCGCCCACAAATGAGCATTTTGTGCGTAGGTTATTGCTATACTGTGGCCACAAGTAAAATGTTTTCCGCCTCTCGTCACGTCTGGGGGTTCCGTACACTACCAATGCAAGGTAATGGATATTTTCGCAGAGACTAAATCACTCCTCGTAAAACGGCACAGAAGGCAACAGCGACATCATTGTTGGTGCTTTGATTTCCATCAGGAATCTCACACTGACTTACGAGACCAATCAGAACTCTGCAGCGAGCCGTTTTTATTACTACGGAGAGATTCCTCCTATGTTACGTAACGTCGCTGTTTGGATTACGCTTCCTTCTTGTTTTTTTTTTAATCTAGTCAATGGTTTAAAAGTAAAAAGTAGCAACCAAAATTAGTACTTGCCAGAACAGACTCATGTGGAAAGACAAATCCAATACGTATATGCAATGGCCGACAAGAGAAAAAGACCACAATAAATGTACAAATAAAGTTACAAATAAAGGACTTACAATCGGACAGGATGGAACGAAGAACCGCAGCGTTGTCGGGAGGCTGCAGATGCGGGAGTGAACGGGATTCAGACGCCCAAGTGTGTGTCTGTGTGTGTGTGTGTGTGTGTGTGTGTGTGCGTGCGTGCGTGCGTGCGTGCGTGCGTGCGTGCGTGCGTGCGTGCGTGCGTGCGTGCGTGCGTGCGTGCGTGCGTGCGTGCGTGCGTGCGTGCGTGTGTGTGTGTGTGTGTCGTGGAGGAGGTTGTCCGTCTGAAAACTCGACGCGCTGATTGGTTGACTGCAGGAAGACAAAACAAACATCCAGATGCTGTTTTATTAAAACACACACGGGGCCTGCGTTTAATAAAGTGAATGATGGCAAATGGTGGCAACGTCCTGCTCTTTTTCCGGATATAAAATGTGTTCAAACAGGGAGGGTACAAAGTCCACTGAGTTCACCTGAAACACAGACGAGCAATGTTAGCACGGCGGCTGTTTGCTTTTGAGCTTAAAGAGGTCTTGTGCGTGTGTGCCTTAAGGTAGGAATATGTGCGGCAATACTTTGTTATCTTTACAAAAGTAATTCTAATAAAGGTTGGGAAACACTGCTCGCTTTCCACTTTATGGACCACACTCATTTGTATCCCCTAAACCTGGACTTCCAACCGGTGTGTCCCACGTATCTAATTTCACTGAAATAGTTCCAAAAATATTTATTAAATACAATCCTATAACAGTACATTGTACTATATAAAAACATACAGTAAGGACACTATTGAACAGAATGTTTTTGCTACTTTTTTTTTTTGATTCACTTTGACTTTGCTACCTAGGGGCAGTATAATATAATATAGACAGATGGAAGCACATGAACCTGGTAAAAACTACCCAGGAAGCTGCAGTAATATTTGTGATTCTTTGTAGATGATCAAGAGTATTGCTCTATTATCTGTCTACATAGGTTGCGCCACCATTGGAGTTCAAATATCTGTTGCGTAAAAGGTTATAACCTATAAATAGCATATTGTAGATGCTATTTGTGAGCAAATCTATGGCGTTTCGCAGTATGTTAGCGTGAAGCTAAACTGTCTTATCTGCAATTCAAAACAGTTCCCAGGTGTTTGCCAAAATATCCCACGGCCAAGCAGAAGATAACTTTTCTTGTCTTGCTGAAATGAGCCTGAGCCAGCAAAATGCCAAACAGAAAGCAAAACCCATTGACGCCTGTCTAAACATTTATTGTCCACTCAGGCACAGCTGAAGCAGACAAATCTTCATTGAGACCCGTGTGTGGGGTTCGTATACATTATTGACACAAGGGGTGTGTTTACATTGTACAGAAACAAAGCCATATAGGGAGGAACAATAAAAGAAGCCCAAATTCATATCAGTGTGTGCACAAAACCAACAAGCTGCAGCTAGAAAGCGAGAAAAATTACGGGTTACATTCATGGAGGTTTTAAAATGATGCTGAGTCTTGGTCTCTTTTTTCATACAACAAACTGGCATTCGAACATGTACTGAGGTTATTTGTTGATGTCAGAATGCCTAACTGGTGCTAAAGTGGCAGCATGGCAAATGCTCTCATTGAACAGGAAGTGACAGTAGGCCCCACTGGCAGGCCGGAGACAGCTGATGGTGCACATCCTCGGCCACAATGGATTACAATCTTATCGTGTCAGGCTAGTCTGGGACACAAAGGAGAAAAGGGACATCAGGGAGAATTAGAGCCCCGCTTTGACACAGTTGCATGTAAATAATTGCAGATTGTTACCTACCATATAATGTAACAACATGTAGCATTTTAATGTTTTGTTTTGTTTTTGGTTGCTTGGATTAAATTAAATTTTCTTTCAATTTCCTCCTCTTGATTTTGTTTGCACTCTGTTGGTTATACTGTATTATGATTACAAGTGCCTATTTATCTTTTTGAGAAAGGGTCTTTGGACCCTGGAATAGTGCACACAACAAGCTCCATAAAAAGGCACGGCTAGTTTATCCATTCTTCAACGTTATCATGGTAACCACGTCCACCTTTTATGCATGACGCTCGATTTGATTCAAAAGGGATAAAGGGCAGCCGTGACCTTTCAACAAAGCTACCTCTGAGGTTGCTCACCCAGTGTATCCAAGCATCCACTGAAATAAGATTTGAATGTTAGTTAAAGTTTAAAAAAAAAAGTTTAAACATTAGTCAATGTATGCAAAACAGGCTCCGGGGAGTGTGTTCACTCTGATAACGTTTGCACAGCAGCTTAGTGACAATTTTCTCTCTGAAAACGGAAATGGAAGTGTCAAGTATGGCACGGAGGGCAGAAAAAAAACTACATTCAGCCAGGAAAACATTCAAACAGAACACATCGCCTTTTAAAAAAATTACATCAGTGGTACAGTCGTAAACAGCAGTTTAAAAAAAAAAAAAAACACTGGTGGGAATTAGTAACCAAGTACAAATGTTTCATGACTATACTTCAATAGGTTCTTCAGATATCTGTACTTGAGTATTGCGCCGCAACTATTGCATATCCTTAAAATCGAGTATTTTACCGATTAGCCCATTAAATAATTGATTAAAAACTGATTGTGAATTCATCAACACGCTCACGTGCATGTGAGGTGCGGGTATTATTTTTGTCTATCTGGGGTCGCCATCCTCCAGTTCCACTGAACCAACCGTGACTTTTATTGTATATGGCTTTAGACAACGGAGCCCGGTCTTGCGAGTGACGTGGGAGCCAATAATGAGCGCATAGATTTGGCTGGTGTTTCGCGCAATGGAAGACGATGTTCAATGAGCTAACATTAGCTTGTTTAAACGATGGTAGATGTGCTCCTCAGGGACATGAAATCCTTTGAGTAGAGTGTACAAATAATAATAATAATATATAACAATATAATCTATTTATCATGTGGAATAATGTGTCCACAAGCCTCATGTTTTATGAAAGTACATCAATGCTGGAAATTATCTGGCTGAGTCGAGCTTTGTGTGTCGACGACAGCACTTTCATCCGCCCTCAACTAATCCCTGCACAGCTGCAGTTCCAGCTTGGCAACTTTGACAGCCTGACTGTTTTCCAAACATGCCCAGCAGTGACACTCGTCCATCTTGTTTGTCCAGTCGTGGAGAGAAAAAAAAGAAAATGACACTGCTGGGGTGACCGTTTGCAAAGCCTTTCAAGTGTGACAGTTCAAGGTACGCACACGAAAAAAAACAAAAAAAAAAACAAAAACAAAAACAAAAAAAAACTAAACTATACACCGAGAGGTATCACGAGGTACACCTGCCACAATCGTCTGCACGTACCGAAACTAGAGCTACACAACAATTCATTCTCCGGATACAATGGGGATGTGCTAAAGAGACAAAATAAATAAAAGCCATGTGCTCGCAAAACGGAGACGAATACTGAAAGTAGAATATGAAACCTGCAACGCAGTGTTAAAAAAAAAACAAAAAAAGGAAATTGAACTGAGGAACTAGAGCATCGAGTGACGGCATTGAAGCAAGACACACAATCAACTACATCCTCAGTCTACAAGGCTCTTAACATGCAAAAAAGACAAGAGACGATCTCCATCCATCCATTTTCTAATCTGCTTGTCCTCACAAGGGTCGCGGGCGTGCTGCAGCCCATTTTTATTGAGATTTCATCCATTATTTGACCGGTGGCACAGTTAGTGAATGGATGGTGCCATTGCAGGAGCTAAAAAGTGTTTGTAATGTGCATTAATAGGGGAAATGTACACTGTAAATGTTGTAACTGATAAAAACATCATGCATTATTTGGATATTAAATAACAGAGTTAGACCACAGTTTTTGCATCAACTCATAGGACTCCCTATGGTGCCTTAAATGGTTCTTCTTGAGTTTCTATCAGAGCGGCGCGGTTACCTGGAGGCTACGTTCACTCCGCAACGACCCCGGGGAGCTCCGCAAGGACGGACGGATCCTCCTGATTGGCTAAAGTCTGATTGACGAATCGCAACATTCCCTTCAATGAGCTCATGTGCTCATCCGGGGTGTCCACCCCTCCCCGCTCGTCTTCTCCCTCCTCCGTGATGGTCTGCTCTGAACTGGCGCTGGTGTCTTCCGGCATGTAGGTGAGGGGGTCAAAGGAGAGGTCACAGCTCGATGGCGGCTCGGTGCTGCTGAGCGCCTGCCAGCTGCGGTCCACCGAGTCCGAGTCGGACGACTCCCACGGCTGCTGACTCAGCGCTTCCTTCAGAGTAGCCTTGAGGCTTGGGGGGAGATCGAGGGACAGGTCGTTGCTACAGCTCTGGAGAAGCAGCTCAAGGCCTGCATCGGATGGAGGCGAGGTTGTGCTTTGGGAGGGAAGTGACGTCCTGTGAGCGAGTGATGGAGAGATGCTGGTCGTTGGATGCATACTGGGACAGGAAGGAGGGTGGTGCGAGGATGAGGTGTCCTCTTGGGGGTGTATCCATGGCTGGATGGATGACAGGGAGCCGATGGAATTGCAGAAGGATGGAATGTGATGTTCAGCTGCACGCTTCAGACTGGAGATCTTTGGTTGGAGACGAGTCATCTCAGACTCCTGGTCGTGGGATGAGAAAATACGAAAATCACCAGATTAGAGATGGAACGTAGCGGATTTTCCCCACGATAAGGCGCTCCGGAGTATAAGGCGCATCTTCAATGAATTTTAAAACTGGGTCCACAGCATTATAAGCGGCATAGAATAGAAGCCACTTTAGCGGCTGAGGTTCCATTACGCATCCACTAGATGGAGCCACGCTAAATGGGATACAATAGAATACCATACAGCTTTATTTATTTCGAAATTTCACAACCGTTGCAGCTGCAAGAAAGCGCTTTACAGAGCATTGAAAATACTACGTCCAAGAAATCAGAATATCGATTTGAGGCACATCGGCTTATAAGGTGCACTATCGGCTTTTGAGAAAATACAATGCTCTTAGGTGCGCCTTATAGTGCGGAAAATACGGTCATTCCCTGAGATTTTCAGAAGTGGCAAAGAAGAAAAATCACCCGAACAGGATCAAAACATGTTCCCATAACTTTGCTAACATTCTGAAAAATCTACTTGGGTATAGTAACGACAAAATGATGATTTACCTTGATGAGTAGGGACTCACCAGAGGTCTCTACGGACCTCTGAGAGGATTCAAGCGGAGCGTGGAGTTGAGCCGCTTGGTCTCCGGCTTCTTTCGACTGAGCACCGAGATGCTCCAGCTGCATTTGGAGCTGACCGTTCAGAGCCTTGACTTTCTCGTACAACTTGCGGCTCCTCTCCAGCTGAGTCTGAGTGCGCAGGAGCCCGCTCTGACTCTCCTCTAACTGAGTTTGGAGATGACCGGCTTGGGCCTTGGTGCGGTCCAACTCCATCTTAGTCTGCTCCAGCTGGGTTTTGGCCTGGTCCAGCTGGATCTCCTGCTGCCGGAGCTTCGAGGTGAGCTTCTCCTGCGAGGATGACATGTGCGAGGACACTTTGAGGAGCTGACCTCGAGTCTGTTGCAGGGACTCCAGCTGACCACGGGAAAAAAAAAAAAAGACATATTAGCTTGGAGTGCAATTGAGAACGCTCTTGATTTCTGAATAAACACTTCCTACACACACAAAAAAATGTTAGGCTAAGTGAAGACTGTCTCAGTGATCGTCAAAGCGTGGTACAGGTTACCATTGGTGGGACTTGAGTGGTATGCAAAAGAATCTCGAAGTAAGAAAAAACCCAAGTAGTGTACAGGTGTATTTTTTCATAAGTTTTCATCACAATACATTTGCACTTTGTCTTTAGTAGCTGTTTATACATTACATGACATTGAAATCCGCCTACAAACATTCTGTCGCTGAGAAAAAAAAAAAGACACTTGTGGTAGCCTAATGTCGTAAAAATGAGAGGGGAAAGGAGAAATGGAACAAACAAAAAAGGAACATGCATCGAAAAAAGGAAACAGAAGCAGACAGAAATGTTCAATATTACACAATGAGGAGGAATTAAGAACTATCAAAGGCAGTCACCGTATAATCATCGTGTCCAACCGACGCTAACAGTCAAACTAAAGAGATGTTTTTTTTCAGTAATTATTATGCAGACCCAAATAAGGCAATGAGACATCAGCTGCATTGCAAAATGCAACAAGACGAAGCTCCGGCGCAAATAGCACAAAACCGGCAGCAATTGTCCAAGCCGCCCCCCACCCCCCCTCAATTTTATGTATTTATTTTTTAAATAACTGCCTATTGTAATAGTTTAAAGCATAAATGTTTGACAAACTCCCCGAAATATTTAACATCATTCCAAACTCATCTTACATTACCCTTAAAAATAATCGTCTTAGTATTGTTTGATTTACATGAGTGATTATTAGTGTCCTTAATAGTTTAAAGCATAAATGTTTGACAAACTCCCCAAAATATTTAACATCATTCCAAACTCATCTTGCATTACCCTTAAAAATAATCGTCTTACGTATTGTTTGATTTACATGACTGATTCTTAGTGTCCTGTGCCACACTCGTACCGCTAGTGTGGCACAGGTTCCCTCTAGTGGTACAGAACAGTCATTGACCGAAAGATTCAAACTTTGCATGCGTTGGTCATTAGTTGGAGAGTAAATCATTTTCTTAAGTAAAAACTGGGTGTGAAAAGTTTGAGAACCGCTGATTTAAACAAAAGGCACCGGAAGTGTACGTTCACTTCCATTGACAAGCCATGCGAAGCTTCGCTCCTCTCCGACATCGGAAGCTTTTCTCACTTTCAAGATGCATCACTTCAGCATATCACCCCTTGACGCCAATTCGGATTCACATTGTTTTGCGGCATCACACTAACCGCCAATGTGAAAAGTGAAGCGTAAGCAAAGGTGTCAAATTGTTTGCACTCGTAGCTAATAGATCCAAAATAATACAAACACATCTGCAGATTTTAGCGTGTACCTCCTTGTCGTGTTGATTCCGCTCCAGATCCAGCTCCTGCTCCAAAGAAGCGACCGCATTCTGCAATTTGGCCTCTGATTGCCGCCAGCGCGTCTCCTTCAAAGCCAGCTCCTCCTCTGCATGCCTCAGCCTCCCGTCCTGCACATGTAGACGCTCGTCAGGAACCGCAACAAGCAATCCTTGCTGTGCGAAAAGCCGTCACACGCAAACATAGGACACATTTGAGTGGCTTTTTTACCAACTCGTTCTCCTGCAGCTTGATGGCGTCCAGTTGTGACGTGAGAGCTTTGCAGTGACGCTGAGCTTTTTCAAGTTCCCGCAGTAACGTCTCCAGTCGCTGCTGATGGGATTCCTGAAACACGCCGGCATTCGGATTTGAAAGCTCAGGAGCGCTGCGGGAAATGTTCACCTCAAAATACATCGGGATTTGGGCTTTCTGGTATATTTTAAGGATGAACCTAAAATGACCTCTCGACTTATGAATGCACGTGTCCAATGGTTGAAACAAAACTCGCTGATCTCCAACAAGGAGCTGAATGAGCTTTTTCAAGTCCCCGCAGTAACGTCTCCAGTCGCTGCTGATGGGATTCCTGAAACACGCCGGCATTCGGATTTGAAAGCTCAGGAGCGCTGCGGGAAATGTTCACCTCAAAATACATCGGGATTTGGGCTTTCTGGTATATTTTAAGGATGAACCTAAAATGACCTCTCGACTTATGAATGCACGTGTCCAATGGTTGAAACAAAACTCGCTGATCTCCAACAAGGAGCTGAATGGCGGAATTCCGAACCAAAAGATCACAATCCACCCTGGACGCGGAACTCTTTGTGCCATCTAACCCTAACGCTGACCTTCGTTTCCC